ATGATGATTTGATGGTGATGATGATGATGATGATTTGATGGTGATGATGATGATGACTTAATGGTGATGGTGTTGGTGATGATGATGATTTAATGATGATGATGATGGTGATGAATGATGATGATCATGATGTGATGGAGTTACTGCCAAAAGGGAAGTGGTTTCTATGGACCAGAATGCCACAGTATTAATTGTATATTCCTTTATTTTTGGTTCTTTACAGGATCTTAGTCAGCTTGGCTCACCTTACATCTGTTTGTACGCAAGCACCTTGAGATGGTTCAATAACTATCAGGTGAGCCAGAGAATACGTATTGATTATTCTGTTTGTGCTGATAATGATGACCATCATGGTGGTGGTGATGATGATGATAATGATGATGATAATTATAATGTTAATGAGCTTGTTGTTTGAGGACGATGATTCAGATGCTGCTGCTGATAATGATTTTATAGTCTGTCGATACTGGTATAGATATTTTTACTGTTGATAATAATAATAATAATTATACTAGTGATGATGATGATGGTGATGATGGTTGTAATGATAGTGATTGTGATGATGATGATGATGATGAGCACAATATTATTTCATCCTTAGGAGGTAGTCCTGAGGAACACATCTCGACCAATCAAACGTGGACGTTACTTTAATCGAATTCCGCCCAAAAGACAAACTCTTGGTAGACATTACAAGTGAGTAAATACCCTTATAGAAAAACTGTCTGCTGCTGGGTCTCAAACAGCTGATAATAGTCATTGGAATGCATTATCTGCTCCAAGTAGTGGTCAAACACTGAGCACCATGTGCTGTCATCCAGAAAGAAATGTATGGAGGTTTTGCACCATCACGTGCAAGCGGCCATGTTGGATGGCAAAACAATAAATTCCTTTACTCTCGTGAATTGAATTTTTTCTCCTGTTAAACGATTGTATTGTTACTGCCATTCAACATGGCCCCCGTCACGTAGTGATGCATAGCCTCTATTGAAAACTTGTAATAAGGTTTCGTACCATCACGTGCCAATGCCCATAATACAGCTTGGGCTGCTTGTGGTTAGATGGCAAAACGATAAAATCCCTTTGCTCTCGGGAATTGAATTCTTTCTCATGTAAACGATTGTATTGTTCCTGCCATCTAACATGGCTGCCGTCACGTGATGGTGCAAAGCCACTATTTAGCTGATGAACATTGAAAGAGCGACAGGAAATGACGTCAAAAGAAACCAAGCAATTGATTGTTTTCACATCCGCCATGCTGGATGAATTTAACAAAAAATTGGTCATTATTCTCTTCTGTTATATCATCCAACGTGGCCGCCGTATCTTTTGTCGTTTCATTCGCTTGGGAATGATTGCAAACCAGCAATAACCTGAGTGCTTGATTATTTTTAGGGAGGTGAGTCTGTCCCTGAAATTCCCAAAGCTCTCCGTGTGGTACTGGGGATCTTTCTCTCAACAACGTGGTTTCGAGATGACCACTGGATCAGGGTCACTACACACCCAGTATCGTCTTGCTTTGCGGCCATTCGAGGGCAAGTTGACAAGGCGACCGGCCGCGGACTGGACGGCTAGCAAGCTGCACATCGAGATCCGTGATATCACGTGTCATTTGTACGGACTGGATTCCACGGAGAACCTAGAGGACGGAGAACAACCTGAGGTGAGACTTGTTTGTTTTAGGAACATATCCAGTTATATTCCTTTGATTGTTGCTGGTATGGCGGTAGTACACTTGCCTCTAACATTACCTCTAGGGTCTCGGGTTTGATTGCTGGACTCGGCATCACACGTGAGTAGACTGAGTTTGTTAGGTCTCTCCCTTGATTCAAGGTCTCTCACCTCTGGGGTCTCTTCCTTGATTCAAGGATTCCCCACCCATGCTTTCATGTTCCTGTCGCACAGTTACTAACTATTTGTCTCTTTATTCCAGGTGAGCTCGATCGACTTGGAGCCAAACAAGTATTACTTCTTGACCACTGAAAGGTGGGAATATTTCTTTAAATATTCGTTGAGATACTTGCCTTTTACAATCGTCACGCAGCATCATGGTATGAAATCATATATACCACTAGCAATTAGAAGAACCAAAACTGCCATCAAAAAAAAAAACAACAAAAAACAAAAAACACGGGAACGGGAAGAATCGAAGCATGCGTCGTGCGCGTCACGTGTCAAGCGTCACGCAACACATTGGTATAAAATGAAAACATTTAAACCACTTGAAATCAAAAGAAGAAAAGAAATATGAGTTGCATTAATTTGTTGTTTCCTTGTTTTCTTGTTTTCTACCAGTTTGGAGTATTCCCGTCAAGACGCCAGCAAACAACAGCCAAGGGTAGATGAAAGTGAACCTGACTCACAGGTAACCCAGTAATAATGATAACTGACTACCTATTTAGCCTGTGCATATCAGGATGTATGCACACAGGCTATGATGTACTTTGCATGTCTTGTTCATACGTATACGATATGAAAATAGTTTCGCGCAAGGAAGTACAACGGAATTCTCTTATTCAAGAGTTGAAGAGTTTCACACACGACGCAATTTGTGGTTGAGCTCAAATATCACAACCCGCAACCCGCAACTTGCAACCAGCAACCCGCCGGTATCATAGCACCTTTACAGAATGCAATTGCGAAGCATGATGTTGATGACTTGTTGTTGTTTTATCACAGAGTTACGTTCATCAACTTGTCTGCCATGGCTCTAAAGGAGTCTGGACTCTAACCAATAGGAAGATTATCTTTGGATTGTTTGAGGCCTACACGAATGCAGAGGTGCGCTAAAGGTTTTTTTATCTCTTGTTATCTTCCTATTCTCTTTCCGTCTTTCGTCAGCAGATTCAAGAGACTAGCCTTTCTGTTTGTAGATTTGCGCGGCAAAAAAAAAAAAAAAAAAAAAAAGAACTTTTAAATTTGCTCGTATTTTTTTCAGGTTCTCAAAAAGAATCTTTCAGCTGACGCGGTCAAGATTACAATTGTGGATAAGAAACAACAGGTATGAGACCCGGGGGGAGGGGGGGAGGGGGGACTGAGTCCAGAGCCTTGAATAGACCCCTTGGACTGAGTCCCGACAGAAATTGTTAACCTTGTTAACCCACTCGCCACGCCCCCCTCCCCCCACCGTCCAACGCAATAAAGCATAATACTTATGTTAGAACTTTGACTTAATACACTGAAGTGCTCTGAATATTTTTGCTTCTAGAAAACCATAAAAGAGTCACCTGGAGTAGTTCTACATAAAAAACGCTCGATGTCGCTGTTACAGAAGCTCGTGAACGAGAAGGACTCCAAATTCACTGTCTTCACCGAAGAGGTAATGATGATGCAGTAGTACGATTAGATTTCTATTACTTATTACGCTTGCACACGAATGACAAGCATCGAAGAATCGGCGATTGAAGTCGGAAATAATTCCTTTTGTGATTGGCTTGTTAAGGATTCTCTTGTTTGATTGGCTGTAAGAAGCATTGTGAATTTTGATTGGCTTGTCAAAATATTCTCTTCTCCAATTGGTAGGCAACGACTTCCCCTCTTCCGATTGGTTTATCTTTCCATTGTCTTTGTTATAGGGTACAGGGACTGTGGAAGCTGCCGAAACACCTTTACAGGGCGTGTCGCTGTGTACCAGTGAAGACTTCATAGCACACACCTGGCATAGTAAGTATTGAAAGATTTTAGACTTTGTCGGTAAGGTGATAGAACCAATCAGATTGTTCCTTTTTCATCTCCGTACAAACTTTTCGTATGATAATTAGAATTAGAGTTCTGTAGCGGTATACAAGCAGACATTGCTGGAGGGCAGGAAAAATGCAATTTTCTTGCCCTCCAACATTGCTGCCGTGCAACTCCCCTTGTAAACCCACGATGTGTTTGCATTCCAGTCAAGCTGGTCAACACGCAGATCCTTCTCCAAGGTACGGAGACCAAGGGAGGAGTTCTGGTGACCGCCGGGAATGCAACGGTACTGAACCGCCTGCATCGTCCTGTCTGGAGTAAGACAGAACTATTGAACAAGAAGACATGGGTTGGCACGGTGGAGAATCTACAGGTAACTAAACCAATCCAATCTCATGTGACGGGCAAATACTTCTCTGATAGATTAAGGCACGGACACTCGGTGACTTGCGTCGAAGCAGAGAGTCACGGCTCGTGAGGGTACTAGGCATCCAATCAAGATACACTGACACGTCACGGACAAAGCACGGCATGTACTCAGTGACTTGCGTTGAAAGGAGGTCGCGCAGTAGTGTGGGTACCAGCCATCCAATGTAAATATATTGACACGTCACCGTCACGGACATGGCACGGCACGGACACTCGGTGACTTGTGTTGGAACCAGATACAGCTCGTGAGGGTACTAGGCATTATAATGAATTTAAAAAAAATAGTTTTAACAGATTTATTATTTCTTGATTACCAGTACTTCGCCACAGTAAGCCCGGATGACTGTATCAACCTCAATAACATTCCATGGCTCGACACCACGGTCATAACTGGCCGTCAGTCTCAAGAGAAGACTGGGTTCGACATAGCTGATCTAGCTAACATCGTAGGTTCAGGAGAGGCAGTCGGTGGAGTTGTGACCTCTGTGGTCGGAGGGACGACCACTGGGGCAGGCCAGGACATCCCTCAGCTTCAACGTATCGTCGCTCGTTGTGGTTGCGAGTTTTATTTTGTTAATTTCAGTACAGAACTGGATCCGTTAGCCGAGGGTGCGGCACCCAATTCAGTGGTGAGCATAACGTGACTTTGTACGTGACGTGTTTGGATTAAAATAGAATGGAAGGGATGAAATTATTGTCCACTTTTGAGGCCATTATTCAGCGGTTTTCATTTTTCTAACCATGTTTTTTTCGTCCTGTTTTGCAGCCACAGTCACCCGCCTCGAGCAATCATCTACGAGTCAACAGACTTCCAACTGTTGATACCTACACTGTTAGGCACAAACTGCTGGAGATATCCACCAATTCAGTGAGTCATTATATTTAGCATGAGTATGAAATGGGCTCTAAATCAAAGCATTTTTTTAACTTTCTTGATATTTTTGTTTTGTTCTTAGTCGCAGTATCTGATGCTGATTGATATCGTTAACAATGTCGTGTTCTACACGGAACCCAAGAAAAAGGTTTGTTAGTGACAACAATGAAAGTCAGAATGTCAAATGAAGATAGTTGCTTGGATGAAACACAGTTATAATAGAAATAACGAGTCAAAGTCTGTCGAGCACGCGGAGAAAAGCAGGGGGACTGGGTTGGGCTCATTACTGCTGTCGTTGTGGTCGTGGTTGCATTTCACACTTAGATTTTGAATGTTTTCAGGAAGCCAACGAACGGCTGCAGAAGATGACATTCCGTCTACAGCTATCAGCCATTGAAGACCAGAGAGCACAAATCCTTAAACAACAGAACATCGTAAGGTAAGGCACGAGCACCCTTAAAATTGATCCACAGACCCCTACTCCTTCTCATCGTGCCTCTCCATGGTCCCTGATAAGGAGTGGTCGTAAATGCGTGGTACATTGTTTATGCCAAACTACTAAGGCTCAGGTCAAACGTCGAACTTCACCTTGACCTTATTCTAAGTCACTGGTTATAACCAGTTTTGATAACTAGTTATAACCGGTTGTATTCCATTATCAAATCCTTATGGTTATGTTTTATGGCAGGCATCGTCAAACTGAGATGAGAGGACTACAGAGACAGTTGTACGAGCTGAACCTGATCAGAAAACAAGCCCTGGACAATCAGGGGTGAGTGAGTCGATAAGGGAGGTAGGATCACTTGATCACTTGATCAGCACATTGGCCTATTGTAACAAATTTTGTGACTCAATAAAGAGGGGTCTAGACTGGTAATGACGGAGTAACTGGTCATAGGTCATTTCTGAGTTCGATAAATAGGATGCATCGTGGTCTAGCTTGGGTCAAACAACACCATATAAGGTGTGATGAACAAAAATGTTTGTATACCCATATTAGACCACGATGGTATGGTTTTTGATACTCTCTCTATCTTTTTATTTAATAGTCTGACAGAAGCCATGATCCAGTTAGAGAGAGAAATCACACAGAAAAAAGAGCTTCTTAACTCGGCCAGCACGGAACTCAGGCTTCTTATAAGGTAACCACGTAGCCGCGACAGTCAGACAGTCATTGCAAATACTTTTTTTTATTTCCACCAATTTGGCTTGTGAATGGGATGGGACTGCGGTATCACTGGCTCGATTTTTTTGGACCCGCGAATAGCACCACAGGTAGCCCAAGCGCAGAGTTTTTCTTGCACAAACAAACCAACATCAATTTGAATTACAAAACCCCTTACAGTGCAACCTAACACAGTATCTCCAGTGTACAAAAAATATATATATCTGGTTGGGCAATATATCTTTTCTTGGTTATATCTTTTCGTATCCTTCGATTTTTCTATTTTTTCAGCGCTTATAAGGATTTCCAGATGAATCTCAATCCTCCAACACCTGAAAAGGGTAAAGACATTTTCAATTTGTAAATGTTAATGTAAAATATTATCTAAATGGATTTAGCAGAAATTGGTCAGCAGACAACCCTTTGCTCATGCGCACTTACTAGACAAGTGTTAAATTTGAGCCATTTAGAAAGAAGTACGATTTACAGCCATTCTCAATCACACGTGCCGCTCTAGCGATTGTTTCTGTCGCGACGAAGAAGCTTTCGGTGGACGTCAATCAAGACGTTTCGTGTTTTCCGACAATGTTATGGAAACGATTGTGATAGACGTCCACCAAAACCTTCTTCGTCGCGACAGAAACATTCGCTAGAGGGCGCGCGTGATTGAGAATAGCTGTAAGGGAAAGACACTTGGGATGTCAAAACTTTGCAGCTAACATTGTGGCATGTTTGTTCTCTAAGCACCATCTTCTGAACCAACAAAACTCGCCGAAGTTCACTTCAACCACGCGTCATGGAAGCTCAATCAGGCGGACGGTCAGCTGGAAATAGCAGATGCCACCTTCAGAAACTTTAGGTTCGTAAACTTATTCAGACAGTTACGATGAGTACACATAAAACTTGCGTTGACGTAGAGTATTCTTCACTCTACTTCAAGCACATATTAAAAATGTTAGTATTTGGTGCGTTGAGCGTATGAAGTAATGAAGAACTTTCTTATGGCTGTGAAACGGCGCGACACATGGCACGGTGCAGAACTTATTACATTCTTAGAACCAAACACAGCGCGCGAAATCACTGCTCAGCCAATGAAAATGCTCGAACTTGACACCGTCATGGTCACTGCACTGTACGTATGTACCATGAGTTTTTCTAACATCAACTACTTCTTCTAGTTATAGCAAGACGACTCTCAGTGACGCTACGATTGAGCATCGATTCGAAGTTCCAAAATTCAACGTCAGAAATCTACTTCCTAACAGCATATACAAGGTATAACAAAATATTCTTTCGTAAAATAATAGAATTTTTTCAATGGCTTCCTTATTTTCCCTTCTTTTGAAGGCTCTTTTATGGTTTCGACACCTTAATGGTTTCTCTGCACTGCAATGGTTTATTGAGTATTTTAAAGTATTGCATTCTCTTTGACACCTCAATGTTTTCTCTGCACTGCAATGGTTTTTTGAGTATTTTGAGCCCAAAAGATTTTTACGCATTGCAATCTCTTTGACACCTCAATGGTTTCTCTGCACTGCAATAGTTTCTTAAGTATTTTGAACCCAAATAGTTCTTATTGCATTGCAATCTCTTTGTCACTTAAATGGTTTCTCTGCACTGTAATGGCTTCTTGAGTATTTTTGTTGCTGGGTGGTTCCTTCATTCAAATAGCTTTTTTAACATTACAAACTGTTTTCAATTTTTCCAGGATGTCTTAACTCAAAGAATCGCAAGCGGTCAAGGCCAAAAGGACAGGGCTGTAATGGTTCGCTTGTACTGTCGAGTAAAACCTCCAGGTCTATAAAATTTTTATCTTAGGTTATTTGCCATTAAAAAAAAAAAAGTTTTTCAGTTGTCTTTGTTCATGTTTCACAAAATTGAAGTTTAATAATGTCGCACGCATGTTTCATTTGAAATTTTTTTTTTTTTTTTCGATTTCGTTCTATACAGCTGTGCGCCTTGATTAAATTCTCATTTGCACATGGGTTAGCCTGAGTATGCGAGTTAACTGTGCCTGACTTTGATCATCCCAGACGTTGTTTCAGGGTATTGATAAAAGGATAAAGATTTTATTTTGTGTTGTTGTAGTTGGAGGTATTGGCGTCAAGGAGCACCTAGAGATCAATGTATGTCCTCTCTCAGTCGGGTTGACCTATCGTTTGTTTCGTAAAGTCATGGCATTTTTCTTTCCACAACGTGAGCACGAGTATGACGGGGACACGGGAGAAGTAGACCTCATTTATAAAGGTGAGATCAAGTTTACTGTATAGACACCTTGCAGCACGTCGAAATGCCGCTCACTTTGGAGGACATAGCAATGAGTTTCATCATCATTGTCATCGTCTTCATGCTATTTTCATAAATACCATCACCATATCATCATTCCCCATCATCTTCACCATGTTGTCATCGTTATCATCATCGTCATCTTCACAACCTTATCTCCATCATCACCATCATCATGACCATCATCATCATCATCATCATCATCATTTATGACATCTAATTTTATCTCCAAGGAGCTGAACAAGAACTTGACAAAGATTTCGAAGATGGTGAATTGTTCGTGGACGATCTTGAAGTAAGCCTTCAAACGGTTAGATATTTTAGCGCGAATCATAAAATCATTTAAAACACTCACGCTTACAGCACCAAGATGGCTGCGGTTACTGTTTCAGAGGTCAAAAGTTTTATTTAAGTTGAGCGCATTTTGCAGTGTTAGAAAATTTTAATGTCAACTTTTTTGTTATTTGCGAAGGATAATTTTGGAGGCGGAAGATCGAGTAATCTAAAGCGATGCGCCAGCACAKCATCGTCGATTTCTTCTTCGTCAGACGCGTCGACGGATTCAGCGGCCACCAAGTCTAGGAAGAGTATGACATCACTAGTATCCCACACGAACGCTGGTCCGTCTGCTTCACAAGCCAAAGACAAAGTAAGTGAACGATTAACGTCATGAGAAAGCGACGCATATGAAGAAAAAGCATATAATCTTCTCGCACACATTCTCAAAATGAATAAATATTTTTATTGCGCACATTCTTAGATGCCGGGTATTTTTAGAGTGGATGCTCGACAAAAGCCGCCTGCGCCACACTGTCGTGACCCTTTCATTTTATGTTATGGCATTTTGTCGAACATGCGCACTAAGAATGACTGGGTTCTGAATAGCCAGTTCTGTAGTTCTGGTGGATAATTTGTTACGGTTTTCGTGCGAAACATTGCCCTTATACTGGTCAATAGACTATTAAAATCACTCTACGATCTATATTTACTACAGTTCCAATAAATAATAATTTGCCGTGTCAGCGTAAAGAAGACTGATTTCACTGTTTCCTCTGTCTGTCTGTCTTTCTGTTTAGGGTAAGAAGAAAAGTATGTTCTACAGACCCTTGGATGACCACGATGACTTGGAAAAGATGAAGGAACGAGCGTCCAAAAATCACTCGTTCATCTACGTCAAAGTCACAGAAGTCTTGATGTGTGTCAGTTATAAGGTAACCGGCAACTTAGAAATTGTTTTTTGTGAAAATCCTTAATTCAGGATATTTGTGAAATCCCCCCCAGGACCACACTCGAAGAAAGTCTGCAGGTTTTCCACAATCTTTTTTTTTACTTATGGTCTACCTGTGTTACATTTCTCACTCTTCCTTGCCACAGGGATCCCAAGTCGTGCTGCTTTTTCCAATGATTAGAATGTATGTCCCGGTGAAAAACAATAAAACAGGGAATACTTATGAAAGATTTTCGGAATCTGTAGAGATCACTTCGGATTCGGAATATTCGATATATTTAATGTTTTGACTTTTTTTCCAGGGTGAAAAAGAGAAAAATATAGTTGATGTGCACAATTTCAACCTGACCCTCCCCACCCTGGAGTATCACAACAGAACGTGGACTTGGCACGATCTTCTCATAGCAATGAAAAAGGACTGTATCAATGTATTGGTGTCCCAGGTAAACAAATTATTGATGTTTTGCAACCATCCCAAACGGAGTCAAGGGAAAAAGAAATGGCGGCCATGTTGGTGGTATTAACAAAGGAGACTGATAGAGCCCGGTTTAGACGGTACGATTTTTGCCTACAACTATCGTATACAACACGCTCGCGTCTATCGTAGGCGAGTTGTAGGCTTGATTTGCATGCTACGACTCGAGTTGTAGCATGGCGCGAGCGTGTTGTATACGATAGTTGTAGGCGAAAATCGTACCGTCTAAACCGGCCTTAAGGAATCTTGTGTTAAATACCACCAACATGGTGCGATGTTAATATAAACGAGAAATGCCTTGCACGATTACAATGCTTTCCAAATTTATACCGCATAGTTCCCTCTCCTACCTACCTACCTACCTATAATACTGTTTTTTTGTACCAGAATTTTAGCCCAAATGATGATAACAATGAGAATTAATGTTAATGATTGCGACGATGACGTCAATGTTGACGTCAGTGATGATGTTGATGATTGTAATGATGACGTCAATGATGATGTTAATGATTGTGATGATGACGTCAGTGACGATGTTGATGATTGTGATGATGACGTCAGTGTTGATGTTGATGATTGTGATGGTGACGTCAGTGATGATGTTGATGATTGTGATGATGACGTCAGTGATGATAATGATTRTGATGATGATGTCAATGGTGACACTACTATTTTCAATTTCTTGGCAAAAAGGTTATCAAAGAAAAACTACACCTTAAAGGAAGGAGAGACGTAGACGGGACGGAGAACAAAGATTCAAAGTCTGAACCAAAGTGAGTGATTTAGTCTGGCCTTGTCCTTAGCACAGGTTGAAGAAGGCACTATTAACCTTAAGGCGCAGAAACACAACGCTTAGTAGCATGCGATGGAAAGTATTCCACCTTGTTCACTCACCCCTGTGACGTTCAGCTCGATCGCGCCGTGTGGATTTATGTTATTGTCATGTTGCTATCTTCCCCATCGCAAGTAACATTGCATTATTTGTCCGCGTCCGCGTCCGCGACGGATGCAAATGCTTCTGAGACTGAACTAGTCCGTACCGTAACCGTGCCGTGTGGTGTATTTCTTCTCACTATAAGTATACTCAGCTATGACTGACATTTTATCTATTCCATCCTTCAGAGAGGAAGATAAGGCCAAGCTTCTTTTTGGTGATACAGTAAGTATTTAACATCATGGTCCCCCTGTGTTGATTTTTTTCCTGATTTTTCTTGATTTTTTTTAAAGTCAAAAACAGAAAAAAAGAAAAAGAGCAAGAAAAGCTTGTTGGGTAAACTGGTCAGGAAGACTCGTTTGAGCCCTAGACCATCAGGTTTGTTCTTTATACAATTTATGCATTTTATTTCTGCTTTTCTTTTTATCTTGTCCTTCACCTCTATCTAAATTAACCTTCCTTTTGCTCAAACTCCCAGAAAAATGAATTCGATAATGATTCGGTCCCCTTTTTGTATCCCGAACTGGCATGAAAAATACGTTTTTTTAATCGAAATTCAACGAACTAGGGGATGTGACGTCACGACTGCTATATATAGTAATCAATGTCGTTTTCTAATTCACAACACTGGCCTGCTAATTGGATAAGAATTTCCTTTCTTGATATATGATTGGTTGTCACTGTTTTCATTTCCTCTGTGTATTTTCAGGTCTTCTTCAACCCGATGGAGCTGGCCCAGAGCCTGTTAACCTAGAAGGGGAAGAGTACGAACAGAGCGAAGAGGAAGCGCCAGACTCGGATAGCTCACTATTCGATACTAAATCTTAAGTGATCTAAATGCCAAGTTGGAGGAGTTAGTACAGAAGGAGAGAAAATTTTCTCAAAGAACATTGACTTATTACCCTGTTAAATTTGCCCACGACTAGGCAGAAGATTTCATGATTAATTCGTGATTGTGGAGATGACACTTTTCATTTATTCTAATCGTCTTACATTTTTCATTTTTCCTAAGATTGACGGCAAAGGCCGGGGTGTGGCATCGGACTGTAGATACGTCCATGATAAGAGCATGCGTAGTTTTTAATTCGTTCGTGATTCGCGCGATGACCGCTGACCACTTTGCATGAGATATTGTCACGTAATTGCCATTTTGCCATTGGGAACTCATCCAGGTAAACTCATTCTGAGTCTCCTTCAATGCGAGAACGCAAGTCACTTCCACAAGAATGGTTTCCTCGTGGTAAAAGCGAATAAAATAGTTATCCAGGTGTAGTATAAACATTTCGCCGAGCATGTGCAGCAGTAAAAATGACAGGGCTTTGAGAGTCGAGAGTATTTTATAGCCGTGAACGACTCCCATGCTCGATGCGCTTAACTAAGAGCTTAGAGCCGTTTCTCTTTTCTGCGACCTTCAATAACAATTTCTACGATTCTCTGCCTTCCGTAAATCAAATATTTTCTAATTAACTCAATGGTGGTGCCATTATGAATTGTTTCGAACCAAAACCGGCGCAATCCAAAATGGTGCCACATCTGTGGGTTGTTTTTAATCCTAGAAATATGCATGAAAAAATATAACAAACAAAAATAAAAACGCTCTATGAACATCCAGTTAAACTGCATGCTGTATTAACAAATACTAAAGAGAGTCATTATTCAATGTTTTATATATTTATATTGAAAATGGGAATAAAGATTATACATATAAATTACTATTTATTGTGTTTTCAATGTGCCTTTCACAAGCCTTTCTTAACTCACGGCATTCTAAGCGCGCGGCAAAATGAAGTCAAAATTGGAATGGAAGGAAACACGCATAAACATTGATATATTTTTATTATTTAAAAATTTAGGGATTTTTGGAAAGCTTTACTGGAATTTTATCATAAATAGAGGCAAGGTAATAATAGTAAAACGTATATTCTGGCTTTAGACTTGGAACGCTTGTCAACGTTTGCGCAATCGCTGCTCAGTCGGGTTGGGTTGCCTGTGTTGGCTGCCCATAATCCTTTGGTTCTATACCTCCCCGCAAAGCTTCCCGGGATAGCATTCATCTCGTGTCAGCCATCTTGGCAAGGAGTGAACCTCGAGTACTTCAGTTATTTTTTAAAGAATTCCGTGCTATTTCTCTTCAAAATGTCGCGTGTTTTTATCGGGCGACTTCCCCTAGATGCTAGAGAAAGTGATGTTGATCGTTTTATGCGAGGATTTGGTCGAATTCGTGACATAACTCTCAAAAGAGGCTACGGATTCGTGGTGAGTCGGGCTTGGCTTGTGCAAGCGGAAAGCATGGCGACTGTGGCGCAGTTTTAAAAGAATCTCTCTCCTAAAATTTTCCTAGGAATTTGATGACTACAGAGATGCAGAAGATGCTATCGATGATTTAAATGGCAAAGAGATTCTTGGAGAAAGGTAAACTTAAGCTTCTACCTTTTTTCCCGCTTTTACAGCGCTTTCTTTGACAAAGAAATTCATGACACGCTACGTGTATTTTAAGAGACGCTTATAAGTACTTCTATTGACTTTTTGTAATCCTGAGTCTTTATCGTTTGAGAAGTTTATATTAAAAATTTAAGATAAATTTTCTAGTAATTCCACGTTCTTCCTGAAAAGCACTTTTAAAATTATTTTTATTTTCTTTTCTGATAATTCATTAAAATACTGTATTACGTCATCCTGGTTTTTAAAAAAATTTTAAAATGAAGAAAATGGATTAAATAAGTAGAATTAATTCAGCTTTCAATAGTCTTTTTGACACTTGATCAAAAAGACCAGTTCATTCAAATGATTGTGTTTTTACAGAGTTACCCTTGAGATGGCTAGAGGCCGTAGAGGTGGAGCTGGAGGTGGTGGTAGCAGAGGAGGAGGAGGAGGTGGAAGAGACAGGGGTGGATTTTCCAGAAGAAGACCTGTCTGGCTAGATAAGTAAGGCTGATTTATACATTTTACTTGTGAGTTATCTCATACAGATCCCAAACATAAGTCAGTGGCTTAGGGGGGATAACGATCAATGATTTGATGTGTTTATTAGTTGGCAATTTAAGGTTACTAGATACCTTAATAATTGTTTTAAAAAATATCCAACAAGAAATGTGTGAATACATCTAGAATGGACATAGGCAACTGATTCATATAACCTACATAAATTTTGACCTATGAATAATACAATACTTGAGTATAACTGAATAAAAATAATGTTAACTTCTATCTGTACCGAGGTATCCAGTAACCTTGAATTTGTTTCCCATTTCCAGGGGGAACCAAAGCAGGTCATCTGGATCGTAAGTTAGCTTTTATGCCTTAGTGTTTGGCAGAAGCTAATAGCATGTACAATGCATCACTTTATTCCAGATACTAAAGAACGCCTCAAATTTTACCTAAACCCATATTTAAGTAAAGGACATTTTTATGTGCAATGTTTTGTCAAAAAAATTACATTTTTTGTGTTCACAAATTATTTAATCAAAAGGTCTTTTGGTAACTGCAAATTAAAGTCAAAAAAATTTGAATAATAATTATTTTGTAAAAAATATATTTCATCAGGGCTTAAGTAACCAATGATAATCAATTCCTTAAATTACTCGTTCACCCTTGTGGTATCTATTGAATAGTTTTAAATACTTTTTAAATAAAACTAACATTTTATGAAACTAGTTACATTCCCAAATGTAATAATTCTAGCCCAGCCCTGTATAGGTATATTATCAGCAAAATGATTAGTCAGGTGTGTGAAGTTTTGAACATGTCTTATGCCAAACAATATATTAAATATTTATTATCATAACCAATATGCTAATTCCATGTAACGATTTTCCCTTCTTTTGACTGATAAATTTTACTTGTAAATTCATTTTTGAGAAATAATATATAGGCTACGTTGTTTTTGCATGTTTAATCAACGACATTAAGAGTCATAGCTAATAAGCAGGGGGGAGGGAAATGGCTCAGACTTCCACCATGTAATTTGTATATTTCAGCATAATCCAGGCATGTAATGCTTGACTTGAACATTGTTTTGAATAAGGAAACATCCAAACCTCAAGTAAAATACTTTTCTTGTATGTGCATAAAGTTGATGTTTTTTAAGCCTCATGTGTCAACAAAGGTTAACCAAAGTACATGGCTATAATAGAATTTATATTTATATTATATGTCTTATTGTTAGGTATGGTCCTCCCGTCAGAACAGGCTATGTGGCTGTAGTAGAAAACCTTTCAAGCCGTACCAGCTGGCAGGTCAGTATTGTCCAAAACTTCAAAACTATTTTACATGTCATGAAATTCCTTTCCAGACTCTATACTTGTGTGATATATTCCTTATACTACGTTAAGTTTTCTCTTTTTAAAATAACTTTAATTGAAATAAACCAACAACATTGTTGTGTGTGGGATGGGGTTGATCTCTCTGATCATTTGCTATGTTATTGAAATGAATTGAGATTTACTTCAATATGTAGCAAGCTGAAGATGGCTTTCCATTAGATTAAAATACTAAATTATTGGTAAGACTAAATCATTGTTTCCATCTGTGATCAAAGTTCTGTAAGTATAAATTGTTTGACGTCACAGAAAACAGCCACAATTTTTTCAACACTCATACAGTGCACACAGACTTTTTAAAATTTAAAATAAAAAAAGATCAAAAAAATCAAAAAGTCCCATAAATATATTTAGTATATTCCTAAAAATAACAAATACATAACATGCACTAAAGAATTAACCAATTACTTTAATGTTGTATCTTGTGTTTTAACTTTAAAACCCTACTATATTATTGTCTTCCTGAAAGTAACTGCTTACACATTTTCACATTGGCAGGGCATGTAAGAGGTGACAAAACATTAAACTATGTGTGTCAGTCACTAGAGGTTCTGTGATCTCTTGAATCCTCCCTTTAACCAATCAGACGGTCTTAAAGTATGATTCTGTTGAGCCTCGGCTGCGCCCACCATGCTCATTTTACACGATGTGAAGGGTTTAAATGCTATCTCTGGCCTCGGCTTAAGAAGTGAAGGGTTTAAATGCATTCTCTGGCCTCGGCTAAGGATGAAAGGGGATCCATGCTCGTTTATTGTGACAAGAAGTTTATTTTGCATTCTGTTTGCGAGATGAGGTTAACCTATAAAACTGAATTTTATTATCATGGTGTCAGGTAAGATGTTTGTGCGCTGGTAATCAATTACAAAAAACATGGTCTCAGGAAAACATGGGTACATTGCTTTCCTGTTTCATTTGTTCTCTTCCTGGGTTTTTATTCCAAAAATACTGCACTTAGTTGAGCATGTCTTGTCATATGGTTTTAACATATTGATCCTGATGTGTCCAAGGTAACTGGTACAGTAAACAATAATGCAGTAAACAATAATTATTAGCATGATCAATTTTGATTGGCTTATTTAGTATTATCAGATAATTAACACTGTCTTATTCACTGGTACGGAGGAAAATAGTGATGGCAGTATTTTCCAAGGCGAGGTTGAGGGAAATATCAACAATGGAAGACCATGAAACCCACTGCTTTTGTTATGTACCAAGTATCAAAGGACACAGAACAAGAAAAGTTGCTCAATCCTACATTTCCAGGGAAATCACTTGTGGTTTTATAATGCCCAAGACAAAATAATCATAGTTTTTCCTTAAAAAAATTGGGTCTGGATGTTAAACTATATGACAAAAGTGTTGAATTACCTCATGGTCAACTGAGAAGCAAAGTATTAACTGCATTGTACCAGGGTGACACATTCAATTGTACTTTTTAAATGCCCATGATTAACAAGGATTTTGCATTCCGGGCACAATTCAAACCATGTATTTTTTGTATTTCTAGGTGCATAGGAAATAAAGTAAAATTTATGTAAATAGTTCGATTGTCTGATTGTCTTATACTCTTGCTGCAGGATCTGAAGGACTACTGCCGTAAAGCTGGCAAGGTCACCTATGCTGATGCACACAAGAGAAGAGTTGGTGAAGGGTGAGTCACTGTTACTTAAGAGCTTTTTGTAGGAAAATAATTCTTTATTGAAGACAGAAGAAGACACCCTTTACAATAAAGACATGAACTCAGATAGACTAAAATTTTCTTCCCATATTTACTGCATAGAGATCCTCTTTTTAGCAGACACAATACAAAGTCCTCAGGTATCTTTGGTGCCACTCACATTATACACTAATTACTTACTAATTTCTATTGTGATAAATTTTGTCTTAGGATTGTTGAATTTTCCTGCCGTGAGGACTTGAATGCTGCAATCAGTAAGCTTGATGATACAGAACTTGGGGGTAGAAGGATAAGAATCATTGAGGTAAGAAAGATGCCATCAACCCAAAGAACGTATTTTTATTAAGGGTTTCATATCATCCAAAAATGTGGTGATCATCCTTATCCCTTCCATTTCTTAACACTTATTTCTGCCCCAACTTTGATTAATTACTTTATTGTTCAACTACCTTTTTGAAGTGGTAGCCGTCTATGCTAAGTCTAAGGTCAAACGTTGAACTTCACATGAGCTGAACATAATGACATCAAACAAGACCACTTTGTTATTTGTTGCTTCAGGTTTGGCTCATGTAATGTTCAACCTCTGACCTAAGCCTAAGTTTCCCAAATTAAAATAAAGTAAGATTTTCTATGGTCATCCAAGTGTTACTAGGCAATACCAAGAACGTTGTAATGATTTTATCATTTGTATTTTTTATCATTTTTGTATTTTTGTGCTGTTTGGAGGGAAGTAATCAATAGCCTATTATCCTATGGACGTGATGACAGGCTTAAGTAAGTAATATTGTGCTTTGTTCTCAGGACAAGAATCGTGACTCTTCACCACGAAGAAGGCATTCCCGATCTCTATCACGCTCACGTTCCCGCTCAAGATCCCCAAAACGACGATCAAGGTTAGTAATGAGCATAACAAAGTGATGACTCAAAAGAAGTAAAGATACATTTATGGACTCCCACTTCATCCAATATTCACTTTCCATTTACTTGATTTCATAGGTCTCGTTCAAAATCCAGGAGTCGTTCAAGATCACCAGCCAAGAGATCCCCAAGATCTAGATCCAAATCTCCTTCGAGATCAAGATCACGCTCATACTCCCGCAGCCCTGTAGCTCGCTCAAGATCAAGATCACCACCTATGCAGAACAAAGATGACGGCCGTGACACTGATTAAGCACATCATCGCTGATGATATTCCTTTCTTTGTGATATTCATTTATACTCACTACTTATAGAGCAATCTGTGATAAATGTATTGTTAATGTTTTGTTTAAAGATTGTTAGGGACTCGTATTTTTTGTTGTAGGAGGCTTACAGATTTTTAACTCATTCAAAACCTTGATTTTGAGGTTCACATGGACTCTCCCCACTAAAAAATTCATCAAGGTAATAATTAGCAGTTTTTCATGCCAGCTTGAAGCTTAAGAAGATATTTGCTGCCTGTCCATATTCGATGAACCTCCTATTATCATTATGTTGCAAAGAATTCAAATTATTAGTAGTCATTTGAAATCTTTATTTACCCAAAAAGACCTAAAACATTAAGTGAAAATTAGGCACAGCATATTATTTACATGTATTTGTCATAGAAATGATAGGGCACCAATGCCTTCAGAAGCATTTACATACAAAGCATCACGATACATTGGGAAAGTGATGTCTATTGTGCATTAATTATACACTATTAACTGTTCCAAATATTTCAGTGTATCCTATGTACTGTACATTGATTGATATTAGAGATGGGAATGCATGTATAAAGTTGAGCCTTTAATAATAAGGGAAACGAGTGTTATTTTATAACAATGTAATGGAGCCAGCCATTATTATTAATCTTTGTTGTGCATAAATTGAATATCCTTTACTTTACTATTATCTCTTAATTCGTACTGTATAAATATCTCATTTGTGTCTTTCCATATTTATGTTTCCTTTTGATGTATTTGAGTAGCTGTAGAGCTGTTCGGGTCACGTTTCCTATGCAAAACAAAAAATATACAGTCTTAAAATTTTCTCAAGAGATGGTGAAGAAGCTCTCTTTTCTTGGTGCGAAAAACCAGATGCATCGTGGTCCAGCTTGGGTACAATCAACACTAAAGCATAATGTGCAAAATATGTTTGTACCCAAGCTATACCACAGTGCTCCATGTTCGCTATGTCAGACAAGGTCTACGAAAAGTTAACACCCAAGGGATGAAATTGGTGACCAAGATTTCGGTAATAGAAAATGGCTACAAAACTTACCACCATGGCTCGTCCCCCTGTTTCTATAGGAAGTAGAAGCGTAGCTATGATAGAGATGGCAGACAAGAAGGCGTACATACCCAGGGCGAGTTTAGCCGAAACTTTAAGTAATACCTTGATAAGAAAACATGATGGTTAACCTATAGTATAATAGCTATTTACAGGTGTCGGTGTATGTATGAATGAACCTAAGGTAAAACGAAACTTTGGGCTCCGGTTTTACTTACTTGAGCAACGAATGGCGTAAGCATGGCGCCTATTCTCGATATTGCACTACAGCAACCCAAGCCCAAAGCCCTGTTAATTGTAGGATAGACCTACAAGAGATAATGATTGAATTAGAGAACATAATCGTGACAAAGAACTTTTGAGGAGACCAACGTTCGGTTTTGTCTAACATTAAAGCAAATGAATTGGGTTTTGCATTGCGCAGAGAGCAGGCAGGTTGGATTACAATTGCCTGAACACACCATTCCCTTGYCTGCGCGCGGTGCTCGATTGAAGGTTCAGCGTTTGATGTTTTGGAACGTTACGGTACAACGCTCAACCGTGGTTTCCCCCTCGGAAACTGCTGATTCCAGTTGTAGAGCTATATTGTCATACATCTCGCAAATGGTCTATGATAGAAGCACGAATGAATAAACTCACCTCGGGTGTATACACGAAGAATGTCTGAAATGCTCCCGAAATGAACCCGCGGACACCAAATATACAAAACGTCATGAAACCCCTAGTAATGACAAAATATATGTGAGAAGGTTGGTGGCTGGTCACCGTGGAAGCACGCGCGTGTCACCTTTAATTAAAATTGTATCCACACCCTGAACAGCCTCTGGGCTGATCAAAGTCAGCTTACGAATAGATCCAATATTTCTTATTGAAATATTTATTTCCCCATGAGAATAATAAGAAAAATGTTGCTAAAGAACTGAACAAGAGAAAATACACAAGGGGGTCTGGAAGGGTTAGTAAATGACGCTGCAATGCGGGTTACCTGTGGATGTAGCGTGTTAGGTTTTGAGGAAGGAGGAAATTAAAACCGACTAACCAAGAGGTAGGTACGCCACCCCTTGATTCCCGGTAACAACAATCAATTTATCGTTCTTACCTGCCACTACAAAACATCAGCAGTACATAGAATATAACTGTAGCTAAAAATTCGATGGCAGCAGTCTTCTTGCGCCCAAGATAGTCGATTATTAACATAGTAACTATTATACCTGGTGAAGAAATAACAAATATCATGGTATGGTTCAGTACGGCACGGCACGGCACGGCACGGTATGGTTAATTCCTGGTTCCAGACAGATATTTTAGCTTTGTTTTAGTATTTTTAGAAAACTGCTGAAATAGCTTGAGATATCAGGCACTCTAGATCTTTATTCGACATGTGCTTTAGAAGACGTTACAATATATACGATAAGTTTGGGCCGCTATATCTAAAGTAAATCCAAGCCGACCAGAAAGACCTTTCCTTTCGGACTAGAGCATCCGTACTTAGGTGTATGCCCGCTTTCTAGCGCTCTACTTTAGCTACAGCCTTAGATTTAGCCGCCCTCTTTAAGGGAAGGCAGCGTCGGCTAAGATTAGGGTAATCAGTAGTAGAATGAGAGGGCATGTAAGGGAGTATCTACCTGGGAATTCAGCTAATGTGGTCCACATCATGTCAATGTAGTCTCGCATCGTGAGGAGGCTACATCCACAATCAGCAATTCCTGCTTTACTCTTTTCACCTGAATTTGTTCAGAGATTATTAAAAAGTTAGTCCCCATTGAAAAATTAGTCCCAATCCATCCCCCTTCACGGTTTGCTCATCAGTGTATTGAAAGATGAAATCCAAATCACCGTTGCCTTGTATATTGCCTTGGTCAGCTAGCTTGTACATGTGTCGAGACCTGTGCGACTTGACTGACGGTAGCCCTGTGGTTTTATATGAAGTACTGGTACGGCTTGTACTTACCACATTTGCCTGTCTCTGAATAGCTTTGATAAAGTTCCGTCGTAGTCAGCACGATCCCGTAATATGAAAATGCTAAATTAAACCTTGAAAATAAAACACATACATAGTTTATCAGCTGAGCTTTTGCTTTTCCTTTTTTTGGGGGGAGGGGAGGGGGTTCAGAATGGGATAAACTCAAGTCCATGATTCTGAAATGTCTTGTTATATCCAACCAACACGCATGGCGGCAATATATGACGAACACTCGTTGATGTAAATTTACTCTCACCAGATAATCCATAATAATATAGTCGTTTTCCATTGTCCACCAAGAAATAAATCTACTATTCGTCCTCTTGGTTTGTTCTGAAAGATAACACGGGGAAACAGGAATTAACTACTATTCCAGATCCCAAAAATTCCATTCCGACATTTGCTATAGCAGGTGATTTATAGGCAAATTAAAGACAATCAACTCACAGTGTTAGCATCTTTTAGTTCCCCTGGAGGTAATTCTTTCTTGTTTATTCTAGAACATTGTTTTAGCACTTGAATGGCTTTCTCGCGGTCTCCCGCAGCCAGGTAGAACCGAACAGACTCTGGTAACCACTGGGATAAAAAGTAAATGAATATTGGTTATATTATCATGAAGTCCTTGGCGTCTGCGTGCGTGCCATACAGGCATAGAGGATAATGATGATGATGATATTATCATGCTTCACTGTTTCCCTTCTCCCACTCCGCTATATCCCTCTGTCACTCTCTCCTTGTTTTGTTTACGCAGCTGTATTCATATATTCCATAAGAGGGTTGTCTACCACCATCACCTCTTTCACTCTCTATCTCTCCCTCTCTTGCTAGCTCATTTTGTCTGTCCGTCTGTCGGGCGGAAAGTCTCTCTCTCTCTCTCTCTCTCTCTCTCTCTCTCTCTCTCTCTGTACGTGTTTGTCGTAGCAACACATCACTCTGCAGCCCCACAAGGTGTGAAAGAATCCATCGCTACGCTGTCTCAGAATCACTACATCCATACAATCCATTCATATAGAATCATTACATGCAGGAAACCATATTCATTGGAATTTGGTGATTAGATAGACGGATTCGAAGTCTATCTTCCATCACATCGCTGGTGGTTTAAACTAACCTTGCTCATGATTAGAAAAATCAGCAGCGGAAGGCTGAGTATCGCTAAAAGCCACCGCCAACCTAAAGTAGGCATGACAGCCATTGCCACGGCAACGGTGAACGTGGAACCAATGGCCCAAAATATCTAAAAGATCATAAAAATCTGTCACTACCAGTTTATTAAAGACACATTTATTAAAGTCTTAAAACAGGCCGCCGGCGAAATCAATTCGTGCATTCATAACATACAATACGCAGGTTTGGGCTACCTGTGGTCAGCCATGTTATAAGTGAAGGATCCTTATAGTTCTAACTACTCAACTCACAGCTAAAGATAAGATGCAAATGGCTCTGGACTTTGCGGGCAGGAATTCTGATAATAAGGTCGTCCTGAATTATTAAGAAGAAGAAAAGGAAATCTCAATTAGTACATTAATATCGTTTGGAAACCAAGCTATCGACGTAGACAACCGCAATGTATGTAGTCTACGGTAAGGCTGAAGTCTAAAAGCAAATCGCGCACTTTATAAAATACAGATATGTCGAATCAAGTAAACTATTTTACCTTGGTCGTAATGTGTAATTATCTTTGGAATAAAGTTTGAGTCCTATCCATATTCATGCGTCATCTCATGGGCGACCATTAAACAAAGCAATGGTACTCTAGAGAATGACACGTGGTCTGGAATGGGAAAACATTACGCCCAAGGTGAAGAGGTCTATAGACCATATGAAAAAGAGCGTGTCCCTTGAGATACCTTTACTTCATTAGTTGTAGAAGACAACAATGCTTTCATTAGAAAGAGTATTTCAAAATAAGTGATCTTCCAAAAATTTTTAATTAATTGGGTGCCTAACTTTGATATTAGTTTATACTATTTCAGGACCCCAGCACCATCAAACTTTTCTCTTTAATATATCGTAAATTACAATAACTTTAATTTTGGTGCGAATAAACTATTGATTGACTTATAGAAGCACATCACACATCCTTATACACCGAAGAGTTCCTCAAGTTAACGATGAATGGTAGAGACTGAATCGACAGCAAAGACACGCCAGTCATACTTACGACTGTGGGGATCCACCAATACCAAATCCAACCAAACATCTAAGGGAAATGATCCAGTAATAATGAGGAGAGAATGCACTTAGAAGTCCAAAGTAAAATATCCAGGCTGCTGAGACGATTACGGTCTGTAAACAAAAATGTAATAGAGTAAAGTACTGTTTGACACATCGCTTCTACCGTAAAGTGATTGTTTTGCGAAGTTCCTTGTTTAGACATAGAGTTTTGTCTTGCGATACTTATATAGAGTTTTCTCGTACGATTCTCATAAGTTCAGAGCACAGCCGAGCCCAAGCTTGGTTTCTGTGGTGTTACGTTATAAGGAAATTTATGGGGATTCTCCAAAAATTCAATGAAATCATTGAAACGTTAAATAAAGCCTCGAAATTTTACCTGATCATTGAGAAAGAGCACTTCTTTCGCTCTGTGTGGTTATTTTTTTAAATTGAGCCCGTTTTAAGGATGGAGGGGTGGGGATCAGAGAGAAAGACAGAGCGAAAGAAGTGCTATTTCTAAATGATCAGGTAAAATTTCAAGGCTTTATTTCACGTTTCAATGATTTTATTTGAATTTTTGAAGAATCCCCTCACATTTCCTTAGAAAATGACACCACAGAAACCAAACTTGGGCTACCTGTGGTGGGAAGGGATATGGCAAATTCCGTAGTCCGTTATGTTGACGCATGCGCGCTGTAGCCGTACTGTATCTTGACGTAGCCGTACCTAAAAAGTGAGAAAAAGTGTCATGAAATACAAGTAATTCCACCAGTTAAACTTACCGGGAATCTACCGAGTGAATCTGCAATCCATCCCCAGAATGAAGAGCCTATCATCATCCCGACAAACACAACCTGTGAAACAAAACATTTGTGAAGCAGATAGCACTGCAAACATATTCTCGCTTGCGATTCTATTTCATAGCAGCATTAATTATTCAATGTGAAAAAAGTTATGGATTATTTAGTTTTTGCTATATTTTAGTAGTTTTAATCAGTATACAGTCCCGGAAGTACGACTTAGAACCTCCTACTGTATGTTTAATAAAAATAAACCTATTTCAATAATCGTTGTCGGTCAGAGATCTGAAATCTGGAATCTGAGACCAAGTAGCATGCTGCAAAATGGAATATATTCCCAGTCTGCGAACAATGTAGTTTCCTTTTAGATTGGAATATGAAGCATGACTTTTGAGTTAGAAATGTTTTCAGATCTCCGACCGATAACGTTTTTTGAAATAGGTTTATATATATATTCACTCTATGTCTTCCAAGACGTTAATTCACCATAAAACGTAAGGGAGGTAATGACTTTGATTTTTTTGTGTGGTGTGTGATATTGGCGAACATGAATAATATTTCTGACGCGAATGTTTTTATAGACGTCTGAAACTAGACCTTTTTAGAATTAGTTTTTAAATGATTATAATTTTTTTWAAATAAAAATTACAAATATTTGCAAATAACTACTATAATATTGCTGTCATGGGAATGAAAATTCGTGTAGTGATTTCTTATTGTGTTTGACAGAATAATTCATTGATCAATAATTTAAAGTTCTGATGTGAGCAAGTATTAGCATCGGACTTACTTACTGTCGTAATGAATGCTTCTTCTACAGAATCCAGATGCCATAAACATCGAATCGTTGGTGCTAATATAGAGAGGAGCATCATTTCCAATGCATCAGCTATCTAAAAATTCAAAACACATGCGAAAACACAAACTGAATCAGAATCAAAATAAAATTCATGACATTTTCACGACAACGAGAGGACGTTGACTAATTATGTACAAAGCACTCAGTGATGAAAAAAAAAAATACTTACAACAAAGAATCCAACAATTCCGATAAGTCGCGCTTGGAACATCCCAAATCCTAACTTCTCTACAGCTTCCGAAACATTGTAAGTTTGTCCGCTATCTGTGTGGGAAATATAGAGAGATATAAATATAGAGCTTATGATTTATTTTAATTTTATAATCCAGTATGTTTATATTCACAGAGCACAACTTCCAATTCTGTAATATTGGATATTTTAATGATTTCTTATAAAAAATAATTGGGTTGAACGCAACGAATGATAAATGAAAAAATGTCGAAGAAAAACTCTGTATCTCCTTTAAAAAGCAGTATTTATTGTCGAATAGTGATTCAAATTTATTCAAAACAACAAGCCGGTGAAACGGTCCGATGGTTCCTTCGCGGCGTAAACTCCTGCGTTGTGTTAGACTCAATCTTAACTTCACATTTCAGTACCTTGGACATCTTCTATTTCTTCTTCTGCGCGATTTTCTCGTTCAAATGTCGGCAAGTCATCGGATTCCTGGAGGAATGGCTGTAACTCTGTTGATGTTCGTCGCCGACGACTCGATAATAATCTCGAGCGATTTGCACGATTTGAAAAATCTACCACCAGCTGCTCTTTGTCGTCGTCAGACATGTTGGAATGAGAGGATTTTTTTTTTTCTCTCCCTGGTTTTAGATCCAAATGAGAACCTTTACTCGTACCGACTTAACCAGACTACTAGTCTTTACAGTCTAAAACTGTGCGTGATCTACCCACAATGCCCTGTCTTAACACAGGAAGCCCATGTAGTAAGTATTTATTACTTTCAAATCAAATTTGTCCTTAAATTTTCTCAGTATCGAGTGTGGAGTTAAAAGTAAACGTATATTTTCAAACCTGATAAGATAAGACTACAGTAACCAATGGCTTAAAGTTAAAAAATAGAGCCACTGTGACGTAGCATACGGGTGGCTGGCCAAGGGCAACATAACATTATACTATACAGTATTTAAATACGGCTCATCACTAAACAAAATACACTGCTCTCAATGCGTCTAATAAGGCTCTAATAATCAATTTTATTAAAGTCCAGTTGACCTCAATCACAGCGTAATATTATTTAGGGAAACAGTATATTTATAGTAAATAAGGTTATCACTAAGCAAATGGCTTAAAAATAACTTATCTCTAATAATAACTTAATATACAAGTCCAGTGGACCTATATCATACAAGAATAGAGATACCTTGAACCTGCTAAGTTACAAAAGGAAAAATACATTGCTTTCCAAAAACTTTCAAATTTTCAGTGAATATAGGATTTTTTTCCCTTCCTTTACCCCTTCGTCTTTCAAGAATCGAGTTAATTTATAAACAAATTCTTGAGATTAAAGTTATTTTTAAATCTCAAATGACCATGCTGCGTAGTACAGTTTCGAAACGAAGATAAATGAAAAAGAAAGGTTCTATATTATCAGCATCAAGCCCACCAAAATTAAAGCAAAACTATGTATATAATAATACCGAAAGCGCTAAATGCAGGTTAACAATGAATTAAGGCCCATTAATCTAACATTCTCTCGTTTGTTTTTCATACCTTTTCTATCTGAAGTTGGAATATTTTCATACTGAAGTTTGTCAAACTTTTCGTCTGTTTCTTTAACACCATATTGTTTGAGCCGAGAAAATGCCATTTTTTGCCGTAGACTGATCTGGAAAGGCTAGGAGCTCGGCAAAGGAACTTACCGCTGAAGAATATCCGAAGAAAAGCCTTCTCCTTAGAGCTTTTGAAGTCGCCTCAATTGCGGATACTTTTCCGCTTTTAGAAAAACTAAAAATGTCGACACAGCTATGGCTGACGGATACCAGATCACCCCATGAGGACTTTAGGCAAATTAAGCAGTTTTACAGTGTTTTGTGAGAATAGGAACTCGCATAAGTATCAAAAGTTTCTTTTTCAAGAATATGAATACGAAATAAAAACCTCACTTCGGGGGCGCTTTAACGGAAGTGTCGCATGCACAAATGCTTTCACAGTATTGGACTTTGCTATTCATTCACTTGTCAGAGGTATTGTGTGTCTAATTATAGCGAGAGAATATTTTAGCAGATTTAAGCAAAAGAATTAAGAATTTGACATTAGGTGAGAATGGTATCGCGTGTCTACCACTGCGATGTCTACCAGTACTTGGTTTGCAGAAGAAAAGATACAAGGTAAAACATTTGGAATTATACCAGGTGAAACATTTGTTTTGAACTTGTCTCAAGGTTTCGAAATCCCTTTTTACAACTATTTTTCACGTGTGCAGAATGAATCTAAATTTCACTAATGGTATGGATTAACACAGGAAGCCCAAAGCATATTATGACTAGTTTATGATCGCAAAATAAATAAATTTTAAAAAAAACACGTCTGGAGACCAGAAACTAGGTTAAGATGAATCCATATTTCTACACACAGCCCCATTAACAGTCAATCATATTTACCTTTGATTTCGTCGCATTTTTCGTCTTTGTCTTGTTGCCCTTGTACGACATCTTGAAGCTGAATGTCATCGTCCGTGCTTTGTAATTGTCCATATTCTTTTTTGAGCGTCTTTGCCAGAAATGTTTCTAAAGCCATGTCGTATGAATATAAAACATTTAGCTATATATTGGTCTTATTTTGAGCTGAATTCATTGATGGTGAAGTACAATCCTCGTTCTAGCGAGCTGCATATGGCACTTGTCTCAAACGGTCCTCGTCGATTGCCCGAAAACGTTAAAATTTTCTTCCTAAATATCTTAGCTTCAAAATATTTGTTTTAGTTGACTTGTTACTGATTGTGTTATTAGAGACATATTAGACAATTATTTAAGGAGTCATTTTGCCTTTGTTTCTTTATCATCTTGCAAGAAAAGAAATGGCTTTTTCCACTCAATATCTTTCCGTTGATTATATGTAATGATTGACACCAGTTAACACTTGCCAAAACAACGGGTACTTTCAATTATGTCTTTAGTCACTCAAACCAAAGGTAGCCCAAGCTTGGTTTCTGTGGTGTCATGTTATAAGGAAATGTATGGGGATTCTTCAAAAATTTCGATAAAAATCATTGAAATGTGAAATAAAGCCTCGAAATTTTACCCGATCATTGAGAAAAAGCAGGTCTTTCGCTCTGTGTGGTTATTTTTTAAATTTAGACCGATTTAAGGATTTTTTCCCGCCCACCAGTATTAAATATTGATTAAGTATTAAGTGTTACTGGTGGGGGGAAAATCCTTAAATCGGTCTAAATTAAAAAAACAACCATACAAAGCGAAAGAAGTGCTATTTCTCGATGATCGGGTAAAATTTCGAGGCTTTATGAAAACTGAAATGACTCAAACCCTAGAAAATAATGAATTAGTTTGTGGCGTTCATCCAGAAATTTATTCAACTATAGGTTGCTATCAATAGACGTCACTTCCGGTAATAGCTCTTTTTTGATGGCTTGTAGAATCCTGGAGGTTGTTTTGATCTCTTGTTTTCTGGTTTGATTTCGTGAAAATAGTCAAATACAATAGTTTGAGAACTTATTTTGATATGTTTTGACGTAGCATCCGCTAGTTGTCCCCCAGTCACCCGCTTGTTTGCCCCCCAGTCAACACCAAAAAAGTCACGTGATTGATAGTAAGCAATTACTTAGATTCCTTTTAAAATTATCACTCAGTATTCGACAGTTGTTTTTTTAAATGATCCCCTATTCACTATTTGCATACAAAAGACAACAAACATAATGAAAATATTTCGTAAAAAGACATAAATTAAACTTGACTATATATAAATTGAAAGAGATTACCATTACGGGGTGGTTTAATAGGACGTTTGCATGATGGCGTCATTTGACTCCCACTACCATAATGCTTCGTGAATTTTCTTTCTTATTTAAATTTGTATTCCCTCATGGGAATAGTAAGACAATTGGTGCTAATTAACTGAACAAAAGAAAGTGTGCAAGGGAGTCTGGTAGTAGAGGTCAATGACGCCATCATGCAAACGTCCTATTCAAGTTCTATGCTTTTAATTTATTAAATATTATAAAATAACTGCTCTCCATCTCGCTTTCTGATTGGTTAGGAGCGCGTGCTTTATGACAGCACACAGCACGCAAGCGCCCTTTCAGTTCCGTCATTCATGTAATTTGTATTTTATAAAAGAAATAAAAAATTTGCTTGCTGTGCTGTGTGGAGTTATAACACTTGGGGATTGGCAGAACACGAGGAGGTGTCGAGAAGCACTCTGCTATGAGGCGTACTTCTCCTAACACTTATCTCTTGTTCTGCCAACCAACTCAAAACGCTTCATAAAATAATATCTTCAAATTACTATGATCTGTCATTGGTCTTGAAATTCTCATAGTTTTTACAAAAAGAAGAACTTTAAGGTTTTGGCTCTTTGGATAAGATACTTACAATCCGAACTATTTTTCTCGTGATTTTAGTTTCGATAAAACAAAGTATAGAATATCAAAAATATTAAAACTGAAAACAAAAAATCCAGTTTGGCACTTGTTCCGGATAGTATTAGGACCCTATTAATTACCGTCTCTGTACTTAAAATCTTGAACTACATTTAACCAAAAATTTGATTGTGCTAACTGTCGTTTCATTTATGCTATGTAGTGCTAAAGCACTCAGCACCATTAAGGCATGGCTCTTTTGAGGAAGTGATGGAAAATCAGTTATTTATTCATATCTTTGACAGTTTACTATGAATCTTTCCCAAATTTGGCTCGTAGTAGTAATTCTTCAAGGCAAGCAATTACCGCATATCTGTTACCATGGAAACCAGGTCACGTGACCACAAGGCCGCCATCTTAATATTTTTAATATTTTTAATTTTTTGGAAAATACAGAAAATATTCTAAAAATTAAACTTAATATAATTTCCAAGATATCCAATTAGATCCATATAGGTATTGCAAATATAAAAAGGAATATGGATTTTCAGGACTTTTGAAGTAGTTTCAATGCGACTACAAACGATTTGTTTAAAAATCCAAGATGGCGGCCTTGTGGTCACGTGACTTAGCTTCCATGATAACCAAGGCTCTAAGGTTCCTTCTTTTCACAAAAGACATTAACTTGCCAAGTTTGGGGAAGATTCGTAGAAAAYTGACTATGATATAGCCAAACAGTTTTTCATCTGAGAGCCATGCCTTAATGATGCTGAGCATTAGTATATTTTCTTTAGCCAGTTACGCAGCTACCTTATTTCAAAAAATATACTATCATAGAACTGAGTACCTGGATAAAATAGAAAAATAAACGAACCAAAAGAAAAGGTTTTGTTTATTCGATAAACTAACCTTCTCTATTCTCTTCCTCTCCGAAGTCCTCGTCGTTTTTGAAAATACCACTAATATTTTTCCATCTCCTCTTCAACATTTTCAGCTACAATTTATTATATTTTGGATGCTTATCTTTACTCATTACGCTTTCATGATAAGTTGTCTGTAGAATGCTCTGAGAACGAGCTGTGATTTAATAAGAGTACGTAACCTCAGCAACCGCTTGTTCTTTTAAAAATTTCAAGAGATTTTGAGCCGTTTTCTTGATGGCGTATTATGTGCTACGAAAAATAACTCAGATAGAGATTTACCTCTTAGATTATTAGTTTCAAACTTTATTTACTCTAGGAAATATTTGATGTTTTCTTAAGAGGGATTTAACGAGACTATTCCTTGATCAGTATCCTTGAAGTTTTGCATGTACAAATTCTTCATTCATATTAAAATATGAAAAGTAATTACAGATAAAGTGTGTTTTTATTATTTCTTACTTAAATTCCTACTTTGATCAAGATTATCATGTAAATTGATCCCCCTCACCCCCACCCCCAAAGATGTCTGAAAATAATTATCGAACATGGTTTTAATTGTGGGAGGCATTAAAGAGTCTCAGCTATTTTTAGATACAGCTTTTCTAAAAAAGGTTCTTGCATCTTCATATAGTGTTGCTTATACTAAGCTTTAAATGCATGTATTATAATAATTTAGTAAAAATACACTGGTGATTATTGAAAATCTCGCGCGCTGATTGGTCGAGAAACTCGCACTATCACACGATAATCACCTCCAGCGATAATCCAAAATGGCGGCCAGCCGCTTTGTTGCTGTTACCGGAAAAAATATCTTTTATCTTCTTTTTTCCCTCTTTTTGAAAGAATCACCTGTGTATTTATACTAAAACAATTATTTGCCTCAGCCTCAGTGAATATCGGAGAATATTTACCTCGCCGCTCGAAGACTCGTGTCCGGCGGTAAATATTCCCCGATATTTACTTCGCCTTCGGCGAATAATTGTTAAATGTAAATAATATTAATGTCAACAGGAAAGAATTAATGCCGGAAAATAAGTTGGGGGAAATTTCATGTTGGTGTGACTTTTCACTGTTTGAATTCACCCATAGTGCAACTCGGGCTTGTCATGCAACATGCAACATGCAACATGCAACATGCAACATGCAACATGCAACAATAATTGTATATGGAAATTAATAACAACCTACCTCAGATTGGATTCCAAGAAGACTTAAAAAATCGATCTTTATGCTCGAAAGTTTCGCACAAACAGCTCCAAAAGACTGACTATCAAACGAATATCCAACAGCAAATGTAGGTGAATTATACAACATTGATCCAAGGGCTTCCACATGAACAGGAACTCCACCTACACTAATGGACGCAGTAAAACGGTACGTACCACCTTTGGCTATCTTGAAAGCAAATTCTACTGGAGCCATGGTAAATTCCCAGAGGCCGACTTTCCTGCGACCAAATGATAAAAAAGTATATATATCTATATCATACTATATGTATGTATGTAACATCCACTAAAATTGACCGATCTTACATTTCTGGTACTGTATGCTCAAATAGTCCTAGAGAATACTCACCTCAAGCTGTTTTTGAAAAACCCGGGAACAGAACTGGAC